TGTGGATGGGGACTGTAGTATGGGGGATGGGGGTTGTGGTGCGGTGGAGGTAGAGTTGTGTGGTACGGTGGTGGTGTTTGACGGCAGTTCTATTTTTGGCATCATGGGGGTAGTGCTGTGCACGGTGATGGTGCAGATCTATTTTCAGTTGGTGGATGGGGGCTGTGGTGCGGTGGATGGAGACTATACCGCGGTGGATGGGGATTGTAGTGTTGTTTTCGGCATCGTGGCTGTGTTGCTGTGCGCGGTGATGGTGCTGTGGTGCGATGGAGGTATGCTGTGCAATCCGGGTTGGGTGAGTGGTGCGATGGTGCTATGGTGCTATGGGCGGTGGTAGTGCAATGGAGGTGGGATGTGCGGTGTTGTGGTGTGCTGTGATGGAGTTTGACGGCGGTGCTGTGGCGTTGGTGTTGGCGATGTCGTGGGTGGGATGGGATTTGGTGGGTGTTTGACCAATGATTTGGTTGATTATGTCCAACTGTGTCTGTTTGTGACTGAATGTGACTGTTTGTGACCGATAGTGCCCTTTTGTAACTGTGAATTATGACTCGTTGTGACCAATTGTGCCATTTTGTGACTGATTGTGGCTTGTGAATTGTGACTCGTGGTGACCAATTGTGGCAAAAAAATTCTGGAAAAATTTGGAAGTTGGCCGCCGGAACGGGCGTCTGGGTAATCGTCGAAATAGCCGTCAGAGTGATCGCCGAAGAGTCATCGGAGCGGCCACCGGAATAATAGTCGGAACAGTCGCCGGAGCGTTGCTAGAGCAGCCGCCGGACCATCGCTGGAGCGGTGTTGAAGATGGAGGGAGAGTGGTGTAGTGAGGTGATGGGGGTGGGGGTGGGTGAGGTGATGGGGATGGATGAGGAGTCATGGGGTGTAAATAATTAATATATATTATCTTATAATTTAATATTTAATAAATCTATTTACAACCTAATTTTTGAAATAATTAAACAAATTTGTTAGTTTTGAAAAGTAATTCTTATATGTAGATTTTGTGTATTGTTTCCTATAATTATTGGACTTGAACAAAATTATAGTTGAGCGTTATCGATAAAGGCTTGACTTCGAGTTTAGGTAGCAAAATTAGTTTTTGGCATTATTAACCCATATTTATAGTTGGGCCCAAAAGTCCATGGTCAGATTGATTTAGTCAATGGTTTACATCTTAACTGACCTAAGAACAGGCTACCAGTCCATTACAAATTGACCCAAATTGGTGTGTGAAATTTTGTTTCCTTTCTATATTGACACTTTTTATAGGAGACGAAAAATCTCCCTTGGTCGCTCTTTTTTTGGTAGTCACTCAACTTGGTCCATGTTTGATGATCAATTTTTTGACAAAATTGAATTTTGAATAGTGAATTTTTGGAAAATATGTGATTAAAAAAAAAGAAAAAAATTTCAAATTTACGTGCAAAATATTTTATTATGTAAATATGCGATTGAAAATAAGTACGAGAATTTAAAAGTTTTGAAATAATGGTTGTCAAACTGGGGGCCTTAGTTTTATTTCAATTTGAACCTTTTTTTTGTTTTCGTTAAGCCAACGCATTAACTTTCATTAGAATAATTAAAGTATCTACATCGACAACAATAAATTTGACCTGAAAATTTTTACCGTTTAAATGCAATGTTGGCATTCCACATGACCAAAATGTGTTTCGGTAAAGTCAAATTTTGCTTTCAAAAGAAAAATACGACTTGAGGCTACAAATATAAACTTGTCATGAACTTAAAATGGAAAATTTAGAAGGTAAACAATCATAGTTATAAAGCTAGGATTGATGCATAAAAAACGGCATTGATGTATTCGAGAGGGAGAGGAAATCATGAGAGAATTGAAGATACAATCGGGATGGAAAGCTAGGATTGATGAAGAAGATAAGATGTATGTGTAGGAGATAGGGAATATTTTGTGAGATCAAGAATCTTGGGACCCATTTTGCTCCGGTTAAAGAGTTTAGGGCTTATATACATCAAACGGAAAATTTGGGGACAATATACAGATTCCATAAAATTTAGGGATCGAATTGCATATTCCAAAAACTGTGAGGACAAATTTGAAGATTTTGAAAAAAACATGGGATTAATTTGCATATTCCTAAAAATTCAGGGACCAAATTGTAGATCCATAATTTTTTTTGCCGTTTTAGACCCAAAAACAAAAAAAAAAAAAAAAATAGGGGTCACTTTGTAGATTCCAAAAAATCTAGGGATCCATTTGGAAAGTATGAATCTCTGTGTCAATCGGGATGTTTAACCATATATCAAGATTCGCCATATCAAACTGTGATCAAACTTTTGGGATGACCAACATTTTTGAGGGTTCTAAAAAATTATACATCTTCTTCCTTTAATCAAGAAAAAGGGGTCAACAATAGGGACAAACAGACTGAATTAATAGTGACATCAAATGCATCGATTAATGGTGATATTGATTGCATCGATCTACGGTTTGCTCGTTGAATGTTGAGGATGACACATCATCAATATTAAGCCATTCGAGCATCGAAGCTAACATGTCCTAACTTATTTCACAATTTTTTTATTCGAGAAACTTGGTTTCAAAATTTACTAATTAATTAGATTCGAATTAATCACATAAAAGGGACAATGAAATTTTACACTCCCTACTTAAAAGAAGATTTTTTTTAAAAAAAAATTATTATTGCAATTAAATTTCGATAAATTCATTGCTTCATAGCAGAATGTGTTCTGTAAAAATAAAGAGTTTCTTGAAAATGCCCTTATCTTCACACGGGGTTCACTTCCCAATAATTTATTAAAAGAGAAGTGGAAATGGAAAACAAAAGTATTATGCAGACTATATCATGGGAAGGAAGGATTAAGAGGAAGTCAGCGGCCATTAGTTGACAAAATATATTGCAATCAGGGCTTCCGTCATCAAGATAAGGTATTTAGTGGATATATAGTCATATGGATATAGTTAGTTCGAGCTTTTTTCTTCTTCCCAATCGTGTTTAATAGTCAAATTTATTGTTCTAATAATATATTGAATAATTTAGATAACTTATACTTAAAAATGTAAAAATGTTAGACCGATCAGTATCAAGGTGATCAGACGCACAAAAGAAATACATTGATATATCTTGTGCTGTATCGATTTGTATCAACCAGGTTGCGTTGGGCGACTTATGATTCGTCTCACTAGCTACTTTGGTGGGCATAGTATAATAATAATAATAATAATAATAATAATAATCAAAAACAATTTCAAAGAAATGAAATGTTTTTTAATAAAATCCTATAGGTTGGATCCAACTCAAAACGCGTCATTTTACACAAATTTTAAGGATGTTTGGTAGGGATTAAAATTAGATTTTTAGTATATTTTGATTGAGATTTTTGAAATATGTGGTTGAAAAGTTGCGGGACCCATGAAAGATATGATTAATATTGATTGTTTGAGTTTAATTTGGATTAAAATCAGATTTTAATTCGGACCAAACATGGGCTTAAATTCCTTCTAAGCTAACCTAGCAGGCATAAATAATATGTTCATGGTTAGATTGAGGCCATGCTGCCCTAACGATTCATTCTAAGACGAAGTAGTACATACAGAACACGTTTAATCAAACAATAACATCGTGACTGTCGTGAATGAGTTGTTTTGTATATAACCGTTGTTTATAAGTTTCCTTTTAGCATTATTTACTTGGATCATTTCCTATTGTCGGCTTCCTGCTAATTAGTGCTCGAAATATAGCTGACGAATTAGAGTCCATTTTAGTAAATTCATATGAACCCTAAGAATTTGTACTATGATCGACCAGCCAGCTATATTTTCCTTAGCAGTGTAGTACAATTTTCAAAAAGTCAAAGCTGTACTACAATCTAAATATAGAAGAACACCTTAATGAAATTGACAGCCTCTTATAAATATATACATAAACCTATTGCAAGAAAATAAGAACAAATTATTGATGGCTTCTTCAAGATTTTTGACTTCAGCTTCCTTCATCATATTACTCATATTATTCCTCCATATTTCCAAGATCAAGGCTCACGGCGGTGGCCACGACGATGATGGCGGCGGCGACCACGCAGATTTGCACTCGAAAGGGCTGATTCTTGTGAAAGTATGGTGTCTGATAATCTTATTTGTGAGCACATTTGCAGGCGGAGTATCCCCATATTTCTACAGATGGAACGAGAGTTTTCTTTTGCTGGGCACTCAATTTGCAGGGGGTGTTTTCTTGGGCACATCTTTAATGCATTTCTTGAGCGATTCAGCCTCTACTTTCCACGATCTTACGTCAAAAGAATATCCATTTTCTTTTATGTTAGCATCGGTTGGTTACCTTTTCACCATGTTGGGAGACTGTGTTATAGCGTATGTTGTGAATGGTGGTGAAAGAGAGGCTAGAGTGGAAGTTGAAGGCGGCACAGCGGTGGCGGAGGAAGGCGGAAAAGAGGTGGGAATGAATGTTAATCCAGCTTTTGTAAGGACATCATCTGTGGGGGATACTATACTTCTTATTCTGGCATTGTGTTTCCACTCAGTTTTTGAGGGCATTGCTGTTGGAGTAGCAGGTAAACCACTACATTCATATGAATATCAAAGCTTTTATAGTACATTTGGTAGGTTACAATTACAATGTTATTATGCGAATTATAATGCTACAACGTGTTTAGTAAAGTAGAAATGAAAATATTAAGCAAAAAAAAAAAAGGTTAAGTTCTTGTCCATTGAACTATCCACCATATACAAACATGCCGTGAATGCACCATCCAGTTAAAAGTTTATTCATTTTACAATTTCATCCAATCTAGTGTTGGCTGCTAAACATGTGTAGTAAAATTGTTATGTCGGTACCACGAACTAGACAAAATTAATTTGTTAACTAAAATTTATCCGTATATTTCTCAATTTAATTAGTTCAGTTTTGGCTATCGATCATCTCTGCTACAGTAAATGCTAAACTATAACTTGTAAAGTTTAATTATTTTCACTCCACGGTGCCTGTACGCAAATCGAGAAAATGGGTTAGAGAAGATAGTTGTGCAATTTCTTTGGTAAACTTATTTTCATCATAGTGAACGAGTGCAGAGCAAGAAGATGAAGTATTCTAAAATTTAGGCGAACCTTTATAAATATGGTGTCTTTAATTTTTTTCTACTAATTAAGAATATAATCAGGGTTTCTAATTCTCAGCATAAACAACATTAGGTATGCCCCTATATATCTAGTCATAGCTTAGAATTGATACCGTATTTAGAATCTAGCTAGTCAATAATGCCTTCTAATTTTATCAAGTATAGTATCATGTATCGAACATGCAACTTTCATATAAGCATTCCTTGCACAATACTCATCACAGACTAATTGTTTCAGATACAAAGTCAGATGCATGGAGAAATCTTTGGACAATTTCCCTTCACAAGATCTTTGCAGCCATTGCAATGGGAATTGCACTTCTAAGAATGATACCCAAAAGGCCATTCTTGGCAACAGCAGCTTATTCATTTGCCTTTGCAATTTCAAGCCCAGTTGGGGTTGGAATTGGCATTGCCATAGATGCCACTACACAAGGGCGCACAGCTGATTGGATCTACGCTATTTCAATGGGACTTGCTTGTGGGGTTTTCGTTTATGTTGCTATAAATCATCTTATAACAAAAGGGTTTAAACCACAGGAAAATTGTTATTTTGATACCCCATTTTTCAAGTTTCTTGCTGTGCTGATAGGAGTGGGTGTAATAGCAGTTGTTATGATATGGGATTAGTGATCACTTTTTAAGTGCTGAAAATTGATTTGTGCATCAACTCAATTCCTATTTGAGCTTGTATTGAATAAACACGTTCTATAAATGGGGTTTGTAGTCTGTATATGTGTGCTTTTTTTTGTGACGGGAATCCACGTTGATCATGATTTATTCCACTGTTACATAAAATAATGGTCGTCTAGACTCTAACTGAATAGTATTATTCGTGCAAAATTGATTTGAGTAAATGTGATATTTGAGATTTACTTTTTGTTGCATAATGAGGGGCAGTATGAAAATGCAACCACTTTCCTATTAGAAACATTCCTCGCCCAGTTGGTTTGCTTGTATTTGGTGCTCTCATTTGATTTAAGTCACAAGAACCAAGTGAATTCATGAAAAATCTATTGAATTACTCTGGAAATTCCTAGTGTTAGAGCAAATTACGAGTGTGTTTGATACACATTAAAATGGAAAGAATATATATTTTTTTTTGTGATGTGATGGAAAATATCTAGTTGAAAAAGAAGAAAAAGTTATTGATGTTATAGAAAATATTATTTTATTGAAGAATGTACGATTGAAAATGAGTAGAAAAATGTGAATGAAAAAGAGAAAGTGGCTCAAACAGAGGCTATGCCATTTTTACAGTGATAGAATATATTTCTTTGCACACTTCAACAGATTCTTTATTTTACTTTTTCAATAATTATTTATTATTTTTTAAATAAAATAAATTTAGAGTGGATTTTGCTCCAAATATATATAGAGCAAAACTCCCTCTCTATTCTAAAAAGTTAATTAAAGAGCACCTTGAAGCACAATTTTAAAGATTAACTTCCTTAAAATAGAGTGCATTAGAGTTTTTTTAAAAATGTTGGTGAGATGGATACAATTCATGGGACTGAAGATGTTGGGCCACCTCTAAATGATTGAAGCTGAAAATAAGTCGTCCAAGGGGACTAGGCAAAGATATGGGGATCATTGATTTCGACGCCATTTTTGACAGAGGCTTCTAGTTTGTTAATGACGATTTAAAGGGCTTCAAGTTTTATACTTGACTAGATATTCTGGGTGGTTAGGAGTGGCGTTGGGGATGATTTGGGAAATTGGGGTTTTGGCTTTGGCTTTGGCTTTGGGTTTTGATTTTGATTTTTTTTCTTCCCTTGTGGTATTCTTGTTTAAAGAAGAGTGGAGGGTATATGGATATTTGATTTCTTGTTCTATTTTCTTTTGGGAAATATGATTTCACAATACAGATTTTCTAGTCCTATTTTGTGTTGACTTAATTGTAATTCATGTTGGCATATGGATATTTGCTATTCAGATGAAATGTAATTCGTATTTTCTCTAAGTGTGTAATGTAATCTCATATGTAGAAAAGACTAGGACATACATTTTTCCAGTTTCTAAGCTGGGTTTGATTTATGTCATTCAACTTCAAAATTACTGCAACATTGATCATGTGATGTGTTTGTGTTAGTTATATACGTTATGTGAATTTTATATATGAAAACATGAGTTTGGTAATGTGCACACTGAGAATAATTGTGAATCATTAAATATATATTACTCTGTCAATCCACAATCAAAATTGTGTGAGAATCAAGTATCGGAATCCAGTATCGTCTAAAAACAAGTGCATAATTAAAATTTTCAACAATTTGCTTTATCCGAAGATATAAAATTAAACTAGGAGCTCGGTAGGCCTATGTTATTTCGAAATGTTTGATTCTACAACGCGACAATATATTACGTGGATTGCATTTTGGGATATGTACTGCTGTCACATATAACACAATCATACAAACTTCCCATGAAACTTTACAAAGTCAAGAATTATGTATAGAAATCACTTGTAGAACTCAGGGAGTGTGAAAAAAATAAATTGAAAAAAATAAAAGCATTATGAATAGAAATCACTTGTAAAAGAATTGGTGGGTGATGATGATTTTGGATTTCTTGAGAGAATTCTAGATGGAGAAGATTAGGAGCTTGTTTGGTACCGATTAAAATTTAATTAAAATTGAAAATATAATCGTTATTGGACCCCACTCGTCTAATAAAAGTCAACAATAACGGCTAATTTTTCAATTTTAATCCGATTTTAATCTCTACCAAACGGGCTCTAGGAATGAATATGAAGAAACGCAATTTTAGGGATTTGGTGCAAAATTTGTCAAGTTAATGTTGTGTTTATTGGATCATAAATGAAGCAGGTGTTTATTGCGTCATAATTTAAAGGCACATTTGTTGGATTATATTTAGCATCGTAAATAATAGCTGTATTATTTGGTTGACTTTTAACATTTCTATTTTACTATAAAAAACAGTATTTATAGTTTTTAAAAAAATGTTCAAAAGTACAATCTAAATATTTATTTAAAAATAGGTATGTGGCATAATTTCCTCCTCATGCTAAGTATCGAAAACCAGTGTTTTAAAAAGCTCGAAACTTAGGAAAAATACCTCAGCCCGAAGCTCGGGTAAAGCGCTAGTTTCAAGCCTAGAAGCTTTTTTTTTTTTAATTCCTAAACGGTTGCATTTTTTTCTTCCTCTCTTCCATCTAGGTACGCTTCATTAGTTTTTTTTTTTACCTTTTTTTTTTAAAAAAAAATATTTATTTGACTTTAGCTTATAATTTAAAAAAAAAAAAAAACTTTCATTTGACTTTAATTTCAACTTTTTAAAAAGATTTTATCTATACAAAAGTTAAAAATGACTATATCTAAATATTTAAATAAGATTTAAGCTATGATACGATACTGTCTATATTATGTAATTATGATTTTGAGACTCGTTATTTTGTTGTAAACTTCAAAAGTATGTATGAAATTCCTATAAATTTATTACATATGATTTGTCTAATTGAAAATTGAAACTATGAAAAATATTCTAATTCTTGCATTTCGAAAACTTGGAAATTATATAATTGACTAATGAAAAGTAAATATAGTATTTTATAATTTTATGAAAAACATTCTAATTTTTGCATTTTAAAAGCTTGAAAATTGTATAATTGACTAATGGTAGAAATTATTAAGTAAATATAATATTTTATAATTTTAGATGTTTGATATGTATTATTTTAATTATTAAATGATTAAAATTTTAAAATAATATTAAAATAAGAATTTTTTTACACATAATCCTCACCTAAGCTCGCTTAAGCTCTTAAAACTTGAAGTTTAACTACACTTTACGTTTTTTAGAATATTACTGAAAACATAACATATTAATATTGGTAAAAAAAAAAAATTTAATCAAATATCGACATCCACCATAAACTTTCATGACCAGTTGATTACTCAAAGTGATCGATTCTATGACCTATCACTATTATTCTCTCAAAGATTAGACACAATGACAAAAAAATAAAAATGACAGTATCTCTATCTCCTATCCAAAACCTCCCATTCTATATGACACACTAATCTCCTTGGGGTAGGAATGAAGAAAAAATAACAAAGATGGTTCATGGGTTTGAAGAGTCATAATTAGTGTCTAACTCATTATTCGAGGGCTATGTCCCCAGGGACGGATCCAGCACCCGACGAGCAATGTCCCCAGGGGCGGATTCAGCACCCGACGAGTGCTCGCCGGATGCTGGATTCACCGGGAAAAAAATTTAAATAAGATTTAATAAAAATAATTATTTATTTATTTATTTATTTATTGTATAACTATTGTTGAATTGTTGTGTAGATTATTGGGGAGTGATGACGCCTTTCCATCTGAGATACTTGGGTTCAATTCCCTTTAACAACATTATCTCTTTTAATTTTTAAACATGATAAATAATAACTAAATATTAATTAATAATTGTACCAATGTTTAACAAAAAGAATGGTAGTTCATATGGTAAAGGGGCACAATTTGTGCACTAGATGATATGGTGTTCAATTTTTCATTACAATAAATAAGAACTAAACAATTATATATAGTTTTCGTTTTCGAAATAATTTATTTAAAAAATTTATCGACCCTAAAGGGGCAAAATTTGTTCTTTATTCTTTTAAAAGTTTGAAAAATACGTTTTCTTTTGAGGTGAAAAATAATTTTAGTTTTAAAAATCATTATTTTCAAAATTTTGCATAACTTTCGCCTAAACTCGGAGCTTGTCTTTACCATTTAATCATGTTTTACGTATAAACTGTTTTGTTTGAATTCGTAAAAAAATTAAAACTTGATCGTACATGTATGATTAAAAAATGTATTTTTTTTCTTATTATTTTATATTGTATGGGATTATATTTTCGAACATATATGACTTTTTCACGTTTTAGCGCATTTATGTATTGTTTGAAAATTTTTAACATTATTTAATTCAATATTAATAAACAATTTTATTATTAAGGTCATCAGCGATCGCCCTAACTGAATTAATATCCTGGATCCGCCCTTGCCATGTCCCCGTTTACATAGGAGCCGTCCTCGAATATTTGGACAGGAACCCAACAAAATTCCACCTCCACGCATAGTAATTTGTAACTTGTCCGTTTCAACTCACTTGGCAGCAATAATTTTCACATCTTTCTTAGGCTAAAAGGAAGCTTGTTAAGCATAGCAGACCGAATGCTGCAACCTCCTCAAGTTTCAAGGATTTTTCCCGCAGATTCCTCAACCCAGGTCGGATACATCAAACTCTCTCGAAAACTTAAATTGTTAAAGAGGAAACACGTCACTTGAGTATTTAACTAATATTTCTGGTGATTGAAACAACTTTCAACACATTCAATAATTGAAGTAGATAGTAGATGCAGCATATTTGTTTAAAATGTCTTATGTTCATAGGCGGCCTAGGGGGGTGGGGGGACAAGTGCCCCCAACGTTTGAGATTTTTTTTTTATAAAATCGTGTTTGATATCGATTGAAATTTAAATTAAAGTTAACAATTAATTTTAATAACATATTTCGTAGAATCCATAACTGTTTAACTTTTATCAAAATTTACTAAAAAATTGATTTTAATCGCTATCAAATAGGGGCAAAATCACAATAAATTTGAATTTCGATAACAAACTAATTTTAAAAATTCTTCGATGATCGTAAGTTAATCGAATATACGAATTACTTGTGTCATCTCAAAACTTATTTCGAGAACTATATTATGGGTATATCGAATAGTTCAAATAGATATCGAAAATAGTTTAAAATACGTTAAACGTGAGCCTTAAAAAAAGACGTCTAACTCGTATTTTTTTTTAAAAATTCAATTATTTCATTAACATTTATTATTTTTGCGATACAAATTTTTCAATGTAGTTTTCATCATTTTATTAGAAAATTTTTATGAAATATGACATCAAAATTTTTCGAAATTTTACATTCGAAAAAGTCATATCTCATGTAAATTTTTGGATGTAAAATTACATAGGGTATGATTTTTTTGGACGTAAATTTTCGATTGTAAAATTTCTCCCAACTTTTTGCAAGTTCGATTGTGCCCCTCCTAACTTTTATGGTCTGCATCCGCCCTTGCTTATGTTCTTTAGTTTTCATATCAGATTCCAAAGTTTCAGCATCTTTGACCAAGCTTAGGGATGGCAACAAGGTGGGCCGGGGCGGGGATGCCCTCCCCGTCCCCCGCCCCCTTAAAAAATTCATTCCCNCGCCCCGTTACCCGTTTAAGCAGGTTTTCCCTTCCCCGTTCGGGGCGAGTCCCCGCAGATATCGGGTTTGTCGGATTTTTTTGTCATTCCTAACCAAGCTTAAAATGCTCACTTATAAGTAAATAAGTAAAAACATATTCAGAGTAGCTAGACCTCATTCTCTTCTTACGTTTAATCAGTTTTAAGAGCGGATCCAATACCATTTAGACATCTTTCTTAGGATAGAACAGTCGCTAACATTCCTTTTCCAAAATTTATAAATGGTTTATAAAGACGAATAGTAGCGAGTTCCCCGACATATGTGAGTAGTATTTATAAACGTGAGGTTGAAACTAATTATGACTTAAGACTGAATTTAGAAATCGTTGTAAATTTGTATCCAAACGGAGGCTAAGACTGGGTCTTATGCATTTGTAGATGAGTTTCGGTAGCAGCTAGGTCTAGAGTGGTTATTCATTCGGATCCTCTTGAAGACGGACACCTCATGTATAATATACTGATATGCAGGTGAAGTACATGTTTCCACGTGCACCCAGAACCAAATGCGGAGAGGTTCAATGAGTCTGTTTCCAAGGAACACTAAATGATAAACATTCAGTTTCAGATCCAATAAAATAATCATGGGTAGTGGGTATAAAACACACCATTCTTCAGCTCTCTTGAACAGAGTTTTCAGATTTCTCCCGTTTCTGTCTCAAACTCTTTTCTTGATCTTCTCTTGGTTCCGCAGTTCATTGGTATTCTTGTTTTATATCATCAAAGTCTTTGTACTATCAAGCAATGGATTCTTCAAGCACAAATCTTGTGAATAAGTACAGATTTGATCATAGTTTCAATGATGTACACCAACTTCTGATGGGATCACCGTCAAATCCTGTTGATGTTATTCCGTGTGATGAAGATATGACGGTTGCATGTGACTATTTCGATGGCGTTTATGACTACATTAAGCAGATGCTTATGGAAGAAGACGACTTGGAGCATAGGCCTTGCATGTTTCAGGACTGCTCAGCTCTCCAGGCCGCTGAGAAATACTTCTATGATGCTCTCAGCGAGAAAGACTCGTCCCGTCATGATTGCTATTGTAGGACTCCAGAACAAACTTCTGATTCTGTCCTTACTCAATGGTCCCTCATCGACTCCCAAATCTGTCAACCAGGTTTACAAATAGGTGTTCCTTCAAGATTTACCTATGATTTTAACGCCCTTCTTGACACACCTTCGAGTCCGGTTCTTAAATCTACTGCTATCAGTGAAAGCCAAGAAATTTACCAGTCCAGGGGAATTGCCAAGGATGTAACCAACTTACTCCAAAATAATTTTGTCAATCATAACCTGCAAGTATTGGCCTTTACTGATGGAGGAAGTAGTAGTCGGGAAGATTCACGAAATAAGGACTCCAAGAGGATGAAAAATCATTCACGAGAGAATGAAGATTGTGTACAAGGACGTAATAGTAAGATGTTAGCAAGTTATGTCGAAGAGTCCGAGCACTTGGAGAACTATGATAAGGCATTACTTTGTCCTAACATGAACCCTGGTTTCTATGGTCAGCATTCTGACGATAATGAATCGTCAGAAAACACGTCGAGTTACAGAAAAACGACAGAGGCGAAACGAGGAAGGCCACGGGGTAGTAAAAAACAAGGCAACATAAAGGAAGTGATTGATTTGAGGAGTCTACTAAATCGAAGTGCTCAAGCAGTGGCAAACTATAATACCATGACGGGCCACGAACTTCTAAGGCAAATTAGGCAATACTCTTCTCCGTGTGGCGATGCAACCGAAAGATTGGCACATTACTTTGCTGATGCCCTCGAGGCACGACTTACAGGCACCGGACCATCACTGTACATGGCTTTTTCGACTAGGAAAATCCCTGCTGCAGATCTACTGAAAGCATATCAGACATATGTTGCAGCGTGCCCATTCAAAAGGATGTCCAATATTTTTGCTAACAAGTCAATAGCACGAGAAATAAACGAAGCAACAAGAATTCACATAATTGATTTTGGTATTCTGTATGGTTTTCAATGGCCTTGCATAATCCAGGGCATTTCCTTGAAACCAGGGGGAGCTCCAGTACTTCGCATTACAGGAATAGATTTTCCTCAGTCGGGTTTCAGGCCAGCGGAACGAGTTGAGCAGACAGGACGTCGTCTACAGAAATACTGTGAGAGATTTAATATTCCTTTTGAGTACAATGCCATAGTAAAGAAATGGGATACGATTAGCTTAGAGGATCTCAAGATTGACAGAAATGAAATGCTGGTTGTAAATTGTCTGTACAGGCTAAGACATGTGCCTGATGAATCCGTAGGTGTAAACAGTCCACGGGACGCGGTTTTGAACTTGATCAAGAAGATAAATCCAGATCTTTTTGTCCATGGAATCGTAAACGGAACTTACAGTGCCCCATTCTTTTTCACACGATTCAAAGCAGCACTATACAATTACTCTTCTTTTTTCGATATGCTTGAGGCAACAATTCCCCGGGAAGATCAAGAAAGGTTGCTATATGAAAGAGAGGTGTTTGGACGAGATGTTATGAATGTAATAGCATGTGAAGGTTTCGAAAGGGTTGACAGACCAGAAACTTACAAGCAATGGCAAGCTCGGAATCAGAAAGCCGGATTCCGGCAGCTGCCATTGAACCAGGATATCATGAAAGAAATCAAGGCTAAAGTATTGAGAGGTTACCACAAGGATTTTCTGGTGGATGAAGATAGCCAGTGGATGCTGCAAGGATGGAAAGGTAGAGTTCTTTATGCTCTTTCTTGTTGGAAGCCTCATGAGAATGAATAAAAAGACAATTTCTATAGGTGCTGAGAATTGGCCACTGATGATTATCCTATGTTGTTTCAAATGTTTTCTAGTTGAGCTATGCTAATGTCCCCTTAGTTTAATCCTATTTTTATGATTTGCAAAAATAAAATAAATTGAACCACGTGGCGAAGTAGTGACTTAAAAAAGCTGGTGTATAGCATCAATAAAAGTCAAATTAACTTCAAATGTTTGGGTCAGAGAAGGTGTGAAGGCAAAGAAAGACATAAAGGCCAACCAAAACTAAACCAACTATATTCCATGTAAGCATACAACTGAACTTAGCCAAAACTCTGTCAAATTCATATCTTAAGGTAAAAGATTCAAATATCTGCTGCCAAGTTCAGCCACAAGATACTCGTCCATTCTACGGTCAAATATGCAACCATTAGGCCCCTCAAACAGCATTTGCCAGTCTTCGATGAATGCATTTTTATACGAAAAGCCAATTGGACCAGAGGTCAAGTAGAAGGAAGAGCCATGGCTTATGCTATTCTTCCAAATTACGCTTTTTTAGTTAAGATTTGAAATCAAAGAAAATTATTGGGAAGCAGATGGCCGAAACAGAGCACAGAGAACATCATTCTCACTTAATTTGATAAAAAGGAAAAACCGCACGATGAAGATGATGATTGTGCAGAAAATATAGAAGTAATAAACAGTTGGCCAGTAGAGTTGTTTAATGATTATGATGCTGCAAATCTATGATTGAATCCAAGTTGTTGACCTTGAAATTTGTATGAATGATATTCAAGCTAACTTAAGGAAAGAAACGTGGATTTCTTATTGAAATAACCAAGTGTTTACAAGAATATGATAGAATCCATCTCTTTTCCTAGAAATAGGAGATATTTGAAGTATGAAAATATGCTAAGAGTTTTTATATACTTGTATTCACGTTCCTCCTTCCTTTTGGGCTTGGGATCCCTATTTATAGGGAAAATATGCACACATGCTGCACCTCTTGTCTTTTAACTGGAATTTCGAGTTGAAAAAGTACAGTGACTGGTGCGATAAGATTGGCTGCCGAGCTGGATTCTGTTAGATTACTTCAAAAAGCATTAATTGAAAGTAGCCCCCAGCAATTAATGCATTACTTAGTGGGGGCATGCTAACACTTCTGATTGGAGGATTATGTAAGCGCTGATGTAAGATCTTTCCAACTGCATTTTTCTGAATGGTGGCTCATATATCCTATCAGAGGTTCTCAATCATCACATTCATTCTTGCCTTGAAAGACTACACACGCTTCTCGCAAAAGGTATCCACCTCTGAGCTGACCTCACACGACCGAGCTCAACATACGTTCTAATAATGACGTGGATCAATC